AGAGTTGATTACCCCCTGGCTTGCTGTGAACACAGATCAAGGTAAGGAATGGGAATGGGGGTGTCATCTGCTTTATCCACACAGCCTCTACACAGGGGCAGGGTTTATAGCAGGGTTTATAGGCTGAGGCAGGTTTCCCAGTGCTTCGGTCCCACCACCCACTCTTTGTCCCAACTTTCTCTGTCCATAGTGAACTCTCCAGAAAGGGAAAGCAAGCCTGCCTAAGACAGCCAGAAGCATCCAGTCATCTCCGCTCCCCTTGTTAGCACCAGTTGAGGCCCACCAGACAATGCTGACAGATGCCTGTGTCCATGGAGTATGGACTCTCTAAGGGCAGGAACGGTGGGAGAAAGGACAACCTTATAGCCATTTTGCCATGTCAGAGCCCTGCCTCCTGTCCTCACCAGCAATAAACCTTGGCCAGCCACTTAGCTACTCTGAGCCTTGATTTCCCATCTGTAAAATGGGGATCATAACACCTGCCTTGAAAAATTTGAGATCAACTTTGTTAATGTCTAGTTCAGTGCTCCATAAACTTTTTTTAAATGCATGTAAACTTGTTCAAATTAAATCTCAGGACACCAATCTATAAAACAGTGCACTGGAAGCCAAAATGGAGGGCCCTAGGACTCCTTCACCAAATCCTGGGCGGTTCAGGAAGTCCAGTGTGAAAAGATCTGGCCCCGATTCTGACAGCCAACCCTTAAGTCAACCAGAAATGCTACAGCAGTAAGAGGAGATGGAGAGATTGACACATTGGCTGGGTCTATCTCCAGAGGAGGGAGAGGAGCACATGTCGAGGGGGAATGCACCACCCATGGGAGAACCCTGGGGGCTCTAAGAGGGAGGAGCTGTTACCAGGGGCCCACTGTCTCATCCGTGAGCATCCCACTCTGACTTCCTACAGGAGGAGATGGGGAAATGAGAGACCCCTGTGCCATGGCTGCCTCTCACCCAGTAAACAGACTTGTTCTCCATTCTTCACACAAAATGCCTTGCCTCCCCATGTACCTACCAGCTAAATTCCTTAATGTTTGACTATCAAAATCTGGCTTTCCCTTTGAATTCACATTGTCAATCTACTGGAAGTCTTCTGTGATTGCCCTCAGCCAAAAATAGCATTTCCTTCCTTTGACCTCCTCTAGTGCACAGAGCAGCAGCTAAGAGCTTGGGACTCAGTTTCTCTATCTGTAAGATGAGAATGTGAGGACTAAGTGAGATGATCCATGTAAAATCCTAGCACAGTCCTGGCACATAGTAGGCACTCAATAAATGTCAGCTATTAATTTTAATGCTGCAGTCTCTCCCCTGCCCCACAGCTCCTTCAGGCTGTGACACACAGTAGGTGTCCACTGAATGCTTACTCAGGTGACCAGCAGGTGGCCCCACACCCCAATTAACCTCTCTGCCAGCTCCTCTGAGCCCCAGGGAACTGGTTCCCTTGAGTCACCAGCTGCCTTCTCCTCCTGGTCAGGGGACACAGAGGAGGTAGAACTGGCAGAGCACCGAGCAGCTTAGTGCATCACCTAGCAGACACTTGCGCTGTGCTGGTGACCAAGGCCTTTGGGCTCGGCCACCCTTCTCTGTCTTCACTGCAGCCCTGCCCCATCCTTATGAGAATCACTCTAACAGGTAAGAAACCTGAGATCTGGAAAAATGCATGATCCACCGGGAACATAGAGCATTCCTCGCAATCCATCAGCTCACAGTGATAATCTCTGTCAAGGGTGCTGGAATAATCTGGTCCTGTTAATTCAGTGTTTCATTTTACTAATGGGCAACTGTACAAATAATAACTGCCTTGCTCAAGGCTTCATATAAACCAAGCTCAGGTCTCCTGGCTCTAGACACCCCACTCCATCCCACACACAGCAGGGGAGGTGGGCTTGCCAGACCCTTGCCTGCCTGCTAGTTAAGTATGCTGGCTGCTCAGCAGGACGAAAGGAAGAATTTTACCCTGCCGGGCTTGTGGGCAGCTGTGAGAACACACTAGGGATGCAAAGGTTCGGCCCAAAGCAGTCAGGCCCAAATCAGTCAGGCCCAAGGCAGCTAGGTCTGGAAACAGCCACACATGGCCTATCTCCCCCATCCCCATGCCAGCCAGAAAGTAAGTTTCAAGCAGGCTTGGAAGCACTGAGACGCCTGCAGAGGCTGCAGCAGGCTGCATTTTGAGGCTCAATTGTGACACGGCAGTGGAGAGGCTGAATTGAGGGCAGAGAGGGGCTGGTGTAGAATAGCAATGAGCCAGGTTGTTGGAAGCCAGCCAGCATCAGGTTTGGCAGACAGAATCAGGGCTGTTGGCCAGGTCAGGGGAAACATCACTGGGAAGAGATGTCTCACAGACACACACACACACACACACACACACACACACACACACGTGTATATATGTTTCATGGAATTTTTTTTTTTTTTTTTTGAGATGGAGTCTCACTCTGTTGCCCAGGCTGGAGTGCAGTGGCATGATCTTGACTCACTGCAACCTCTGCCTCCCAGGTTCAAGGGATTCTCCTACCTAAGCCTCCCGAGTAGTTGGGACTACAGTCATGTGCCACCATGCCCAGCTAATTTTTGTATTTTGAGTAGAGACAGGGTTTCACAATGTTGGCCAGGATGGTCTCAATCCTTTGACCTCATGATCTGCCCATCTTGGCCTCCCAAAGTGCTGGGATTTCAGGTATGAGCCACTGCACCCGGCCTTTTTTTTTTTTTTTAAGAGACTGAATCTTGCTCTGTTGCCCAGACTGGAATGCATTGGCACAATCATGGCTCACTATAACTTCGAGCTCCTGAGCTCAAGCTATCCTGCCTCGGCCTCCCAAGTAGCTTCTTAGGAAATTCTTTACCAAAAACTGCCAGGAAAGCTATCATAGAGCTCGTGCAAATGCCTGTGTCTGGACTTGCTGATGAGAACAAGGGGCCACTTGGCTTCTTAGCTCACCTAAATCTAGCTGATTGTCAGAGATTTGCTCCCATTTCACAGACAGCCACACTGAGGCCTCAAAAAAGTGTGACTTGGTCAGGCATCCAGCCTTCCAGTCCCGGCTTGTAAGAGCAACACCTGATGCTGGAGATCATGGAGCCAGGCCCTGGGCTGGGCTTGCCGGTGTACCAGGCTCCCCATGAGCTCTTGGGAAGTGGCCAAACAGATGTGGGAGATAATGGGGCAATCCTTCCATTTGTTCCTCTGCTAACTGCCTCTGGAGCACCCCCACCTAGTTACAGGAAGGGCTTTACCCCCTCCTCCACAACAGCAAGGGGCCAAATGTGACCAATGAGAATCTTCCCCTGAAACTAACATGTGGATACCTGTGCAGATGACCTCCCCAGCTAGGACTTCTGCCATTCTGGTTTTACTTGTGGAGAAGGAAGGAAAAAAAAAAAAAATGGCCAGTGCAGGCAGAGGATCAAGGCCAGCCCCAGGGAGAAGCACAGACTGGCAGAGACAAATGGCAGATGGAGTCCTAGAGCATGGAATCCCTCTGTTCCCAAGGCCCTGCTCCTGTACTTCTGCCTGCAACCCTGTAACCTATCAGGCATCCTTCTCAGCACTGGGATGCACACATTCTCTCTGACTTAAACTGTCCTGTGACACCTCCTTCTCCTGGAGCCATGTTCTTCCTTCACAGACCACATCAAGACCTTGATTCAACATTTTCAACGTGTTATGTCTTTACCTTCTCCCTCATGAATGTAAACACCTTGAGGTGAGCCCCCTGTCTGAAGCACTCACTGTAGCCTTCCTTGTACCCAGCACAGCTCTCAGGTACTGGATGCTTGGCAGCCAAGCAAGGGAGGCCATCTCTGCTTCCACAGCTATGTGACTAGACAGCCTACATCTACCTTTGTGTCTGGCCAGCATTCCTCCAGATATGGAGTACACTAGGAAAGCTAGGCTGGACCACAAGCTCCATGGGGTCTCTTGAATTTATCTGGTCACCCTCCTGGAAGCCCAGGACTGGAACTGAAGCCCAGGAGGCCCATATGATGTTGCTCTAGGGAGCAGGCCCTTGGAAATAAAACCCCATGGGTGAGGAAGGCATGAGTTTCTGGATGGAAAGTTTCTGAGGTAGATTTGGGGCTGCTTTTTCCTCTAGAGGCTTCTAGATACTCTAGATGTAAGTCTAGATAGTTCTCCCCTTCCTGATGGCTAAGGATGTTGGAGTAGCTAATGGTTGTGGGGCACAAGCCGTACACTGGCACCTTACTAAGTATTTCACACACATCATCTGCTCAGATCCCCCACATGACTCCCCGAGATGGGCACTATCATCACTAGGACACAGCTGAGGAAACTGAAGCCAAGAAAGCTGCCCAAGGTCACCAGGCTGGGAAGCAGCAGAACATCTCAAGCCTGTTTGCCTGTCCCCTGCCTTCCAGCATCTCTGCACCCTCCCCCACACCCTGAGGAAAGAGGGGCGGAGGAGCCAGCACTGCAGGCAGCAGATGAGCTCTTGGAAAACTGGGAGGTTTCAAGATAGGAGCTGGGGGAGAAATGCCAGTTAGAGCCCTCCTTGAGGCTGCCCGCAAGGGCTCCTAAGGGGTGAGAGTGCTCCGTTACTAGAGTAGTCAAAAGACAGTCTTGCAGCATCCCACCCCCTCCCCTCCTCGATATTCTCACTGCCAAATGAAATCTGGCAGCTTCTGAAAATAGCTCAGTGCTGCAGCAGGCACTCTGCCCGCCCTTCAGCAGGCTGGCACACAGCTGGGGGTGGCCACTGTGGGCAGACACTGGCACACACAGGGCTGGGGGTAGGTGTCACACACACTGCACAGGGGCGGCACAGAGCTGGGAGGTATGTGGCAGCTGCCATCCCTCAGCTCCTCTGACCTTTCTATGCCTAGCAAGGACTCAGTGGCCTTGGAATTAGCATGGCATGTTTACCAGGCCTGAGGCACCCCCTCCAACTGGGGTGAAATCACTAGGGAGTGTGAGAAGCTGCCCTTGGGCCACTTTTGTCCACCCCTGTAGACAAAGAGTAAACCCAGGAGCCAGGAGGAAATGATGAAATGGTGTTTATTATGGTCTGGATGTAAAACCCAGCAGTGTTGTCCTATCTGACATGGTCTAGGGTTTCCCAGCCAGTGAGACAGCGGCCAGGAAGGAACAAGGGTGGGTTTCAGGCACTTGTCAGGCAGTATTAGGCACTTGGCACCCTGAGGCTTCCACAATGGGGTGGGGCTGGGTAAGCCTCGATCAGCCAGGCAGGTGTCTCTGCCCCGACTTAGGCCCAAGCCAGGACCAGACCTTCTGAGCAGGGCTCAGTCACCTTCCCCAACCTCAGGTCTGACCCAGAGTAAAGAAAGAGACCTCAGGTTAATGGGAAGCCTCTTTAATCCTGCTCCCAATCAGTCACTTTCACACAAGTACACCAAATGTAGCCCCTGACATCAACAGAAAGGGGCTTTCCTGCCTGAGATCTGGTGAGCAGATGGGTGCAGGGGAAGTATACTGGCTTTTGTCACAGTGACATTTTCCAAAGTGGAAAAAGGTTAAAAATATCCCTCACCTTAAGTTGAGATGAAAAGCCACCCTTTGGGATAAGGAGTAGTGACGGGATGGTGAGGCCCAGGGATTCCCTCAGGGGAGAGCGCTGAGTGCCCTGCGGGCTGGGGCTCCTGCAAGGCAGGGCTGGACTGCCCAGGGAGGCAGGCAGACTGGACCCTGCAGCCTGAGGGAGCCCAAGGAGGAGTGAGACTGAGGGGACAGCCAGTGTGCGAGAAACCAGCCTCCCCAAGAAGGCAGAGGTGAACCTTGGATTGCCCCTCCTCCCTTACTCACTCACTCAGCATTTACAGACAGCATGTGGTCCCTGGTCACCATGGCAACCAATGGCCAATGCCTTTCTTAAGGCCAGGCCCATCTGCCCACCCCACAGGAGGATGTCTCCGTGGAAGACATGGAAGATGGGAAGCTCAGCCACAGCTCCCAGTGGCCTAGAAGGCTAAGGCCATGTACCAGGGCAAGACAGCACAGAGGCCTCACTCAGGCCACCCTGGCTAAAGGTGCTGCTGTGGCAGCAGGCAGCTTCCAGGCCATAGGCCCTGCCCCTCTCTAGGGCTTGAGCCTGGGCCAGAGATCTGAAGGAGGTTTAGGGTCAAGGTCCTCCATCCTGAAGTTCCAAGTGACAAATTAAAACACAATCCTTTTGTTAAAAGAATGACCCTGGGCCCTCCTGACCAGGGCCTCAGCACACTCCAGTCTGCCATGCAGGCTCAGAGGCCTGGCTCCTCCAAGTCCCCATGAGCTACTGGTTGTTGCAGCCTTGTGTGGCAGAGGAGCTGCCTGCCTGCTTTTTTCTCCTCTTGTTGAGGAGCCGGTTGTTAGAGGTCTTCAGGTCCTTGATCTTCACCTGGTCGTAGTCTACCCGCATAGTGGCCAAAGCACTGGTCATCTCCTCCTGGGGATAGACAGGATGGGGGGGGCACTAAGAGATCAGGATGTACTGATCTTTGGAGTTATCACCCCCTGCCTGGGCAGCCTCTTAACAATATCAGTGACAGGCTGTGCTGCCTCTGTGCTCGCTGTGTGTCCAGCACTGGGACAAGCTGTTTGCATCACATGATCCTCACTGTAGTCCTCTGTGGTAGACACTGAGCTTATTCACTAAGGCACAAAAGGATAGTGACTCCCTGGGACCACACCAAGGGTAAGTGGGATAGTGAACTAAACCAATTCCACCACAGAACCACTAGACCTGCAGCGAATGCCATCTCGCTGGGTGAGCAGCGCACTGGGGCCTGGAGACTGTACTGCTGGAGCTGCTACCCCATGTGTTCAAACATGGCCTCTGCTGGGTCTAAAACCAGGCTGACCACCCTCCCAAATGTTGTTGGTTATGAGGTTGTCATCCAAGCTTGGTACCAAAGCCCCATTCATTGAGGAATTGAGCCAGGAGCAGCACACTGAATGGAGTAGTGTGGCCCAATCCTTGGAGTGCCATGTGAGGCACTCCAGAGATTAGACCACTGCGACAGTCACTGACACCCCGTGCTCCAGGCAAAGAAAGGGCCCAAAGACCCCAGACCCTGGGTAGCCACCACCCTGAAGTCCCTTTTGCCAAAATCTTGGAACCTGCAGTGAGAGACAGAGACTGAGGCGGAGCCCACCCACCTTGACTTCATCCCAATGATCTTTGTCCTCCTGCAGCACTCGGGCCGTGTGGAGTGGAGTCTGTGGCACCACCATCGATTGCTGGAAGGAGTCCCGCGCCCATAGATTAGAAACTGGAGGCACCTGGGACAGCACTGGCTTCCCCTACTCCACCCCTTCTCCCAGTCTCATATGGGAAAACTAAGGCTCAGAGCAGGGAAGAAGCCTCATTGGGGCAGTGGCAAAGCCAGGTTGTAGGTGAGGCCCTACTATCTACCTGTGTGCATGGGCCCATTCCAACCCTGTACCAAGGCCTCAAGGCAGAGCCACTACCCTCTTGCCCCGCAGCCCCAATCCTGCTGGACACCCTGCCTGCTGTGGGAGGAGGAGGGGCTCACGTTGATCCAGGGATGGTTCATGAACTGAGTGATGGTCAGCCTCTCTGTGGGGTCTGTCTTCAGCAGGAGGCGGATCAGCTGCTTGGCTAGGGAGGCCAAGGGAAAGAGAGGGGAGCGGTGAGGTTGCAGAGTTCCTCAGAGCCGGTCCCCCACCCTTCCCCACAGGCTGCATGCTCTGCTGGGACAAGGGCCGCATGTGCTCCCAAATTCCCAACCCACAGAAATAGTGAGCTAACAGCTATTTCTTGTTTTAAAGCACTAAGTGTTCAGGATAATTTGTTAAGCAGCAGTAGATAACTCATACAGGAGAGCCTTGTTTGTAGTCCTCAGAGGGGATATTATGAATGAGGAGTAGGAATCAGAAAGAATTTTAAGGAGGCAAGTTTTGAGCCTGTTTGGCAGATGTAGAAATTGAGGCTCAAGAAGCTTGGGGGACTTGCCTAGGGTGCCATAGCTGGGAAGAGGGGGAGCCAGGATTTCAACACAGGTCAGTTTGACACCAAAGATTTCCCAGAATGAAAGCCACAGGGGCCAGGTGAGGCAGGCCAGGGCAGAGAGGTTCACTCACCATCCTCAGACACCTCTGACCACTCAGGATTGGGGAAGCCATACTGGCCCAGGCGGATCCTCCTCTTCATCCCTGGGGAGATGGCTTGGCCCGTGTTGGAGTAGAAGGGTGGGAAGCCACAAAGGCTGGGGGAAGGGGGAAGTCATTTGGCATAGGGTGGGGGCAGTGCCAGGGTGAACCCATTTCCCCTCAAAAGCTCCTGACTGGGGAGAGGGGCAACCAGACACCATGGCAATACAGCCCGCCAGACTCCCAGGCACATCCCAGGAATGCCATCCGCCCTTGGCATGGGGAGACCCTCAGGCACCTGAAGGAGTGGTATCCCATGACCAAAAGGGAAGGGCAGCCTGCATGAGGAGTGACACATACAAGCCCTTCACCAAGGACATAGGGGTACGGGACAGAAGTGGTCCTGAGGGCTCAAAGTGGGGGTGAGGGCAGGAGATGGAGGCATGGGGTGAGGAAGGTACTCACAGGATATACATGATGACACCCAGGGACCACATGTCACACGACTTGTCATACTTCTCTGGACCCAGGACCTCAGGGGCTGCCAGGGCAGAGGGACAGCAGGGCTTTCAGCCTCAAGGGTCTTGGAGCCCAGGCAGGAGCCTGAAGCCTGGGCAAGGTGGGGAAGAGGTGCCTGGGTTGGGAAGTAGGGCAGAGCCGACTGGCGTCTGGCACCTTTTGGGAAGGCAGCATGGGTGTGAAGTTGTAGGAGGAGAAAGCTCCCAGAAAAAACCAATCACTTTCAGACATACCCCCAGCTCCCCTGGGCCTGAGCCCCTCTGCCAGTCTCAACCTTGGTGAGAGAAGAGAAGGCCAGTCTGGGCTTGATGGGAAACTGCTGTAGGTGAGAGGGCCTTGGTCTACCAGCTGTTCCATGTTTCTTGCCTCCCTGAATGCACAGCCTAGGTGACAGGCAAGGAGGAACCAGGGGCAGGGCTCTGCATTCCATCATTGGCTTGGCTACCAATCCATGGGGCCTTTGTCTTCCTGTGCAATGAGGTTGAGTAGGCTAGACGATTTCTAAGTTAAAATACCGCAAAACACATCCTGGTTAACAGAGTGCCATTTAAACTGTCTCAGGGAGCTTCCCACCCCTGCAGTAGCCCTCTAGGAAGACCTGTTCTAAGGGAGAAAAGCCCTTTGTCATCACCCCAGTCTCAGGTTAGGGGGCAGTTTTGGCAAGGAGCTTTTTCAGATCTGGGGGTTGCCCACTTGCAGAAGGGCAGGGAACTTTTCCAGGAAGCATGAGTATGTGCACACTTCCAAGCTCTGGCTTAAGTGACCCTCTCTCACAAGGCAGGTACCCTTTGTCCCTCCAATGTAGGAAGAAATGCCTGCCCACTTTCTGAATATGAATCCTAGGAAGACAAAAACTAGAGAAAAACAACCGCAGTTGGGCTCCGTCCCGAGCTGATGGCAGCCTTTTATCACATATATATTTAGAGCTGCTGTGATGTCATTCAGCTCACAGGCCACAGCCAGAATTTTCCTGGATCTATTTTCAAAAGCAGAAGCTGAAGTTTGGGAGAATATTTTTGCAGCCTCCGGCCCCCCACGTCACCCGCCTCCATGCAGACAGAATTCTCCCCCTCCCTCCTTGCTGGGCTTTAACCCTTTGGTTTCTGCAACCCACTAGCTACCCCACAATACAGCTGTATAAGTTGGGGTGGGGAGTTACCAATCATGTCCCAAGGACTCACCCACATAATAGGGAGTATAGCAGGGTGTCTGCAGGGCATTTTGGGTGGTCTCCTTAGCAAAGCCAAAATCGGTGAGCTTAAGTACTGCGTCTTTCTCCTTAGATGTGTAGAGCAGGTTTTCAGGCTAGACCAGGAAAAGAAAACATTGGTTTGGAGTTAGGAACCAGGCAGGGGCAAAGCCCCAAGGTGATCTTCAGCCAGCCTCCCCAACTCCATTCCAGTACAGAAGGAGCCAGGTCCATTTATAAAAAGATCTGGGCCTTGCCCACCAATATGGGCCAAATATAGAGAAAATCAAGGTGCTACCTTCATTCACAAAAGGGAAAGCCAAGGCAGGTGTTCAGCTAAGGCTGTTAATGACCAAGTGCCATAGACAGCCTAGGGGCAGGAACTTCTGATCCTGAGTTGGTGACATTGCCATGAAATGCCAGAGCAAGGGTGCTAGGAGAAGGTAGCTTGCTCATAAGCCAGTGTTGCCAAGCACATGTCCCATACCCAGCCTAGAGTGAAGCTTACAGGGTCAGCAGGACAGCCCCACTGAAGTTGCTCAGGTGAGAAGGCCTGGGTTGCTCAGACCCCAGGAGCTGCACGGAGGCAATCTTCCTGTGTCTCAGGAGTAGCCCGGGGCCTGGCAGATGAGGGCAGTGGGGAGGTCTGTCCCTGAAACTGGTTTTTAATGAATGGGTAGGATGTAGGCCCATGGAGAGAAGCAGAAAAGACCCCCAAGCAGAGCTGGGGAAGAAGGATGGGGTGTCGGATAGAGCTGTCATTTAGAACCAATAGAAGCTATTTCTCAGGTTCCATTTGAGAAGATCTGACCTTCTCAATTGTGATAAAAACAGAAAAGCAGTTTTAGTTTATCCAAGGGAATCTCCTCTGCAGAAGGCTTTTCTCTCTTTGGGAAAATCAAAGAAGCCAGGGTCCAAGTAAAGCAAGGATTCAGAAGGTATGTCTGTTTATGGCTCCACATGTATCCAGAATCAAAGAATAACTGTGCAGCTTGGGGTACTCAGCCAAAGGAAGGACCTGATGCAGCAGCTGGATCCTCAGCTTGCCTCTGTCCAGCATGAAGAAGAAATAAGCCAAGGAGGGTAATGTTCAAGGCTTGGGGCAGATGGCCCAGGAGGAACTGACTCTGCTCTGATTATGCTTACACAGGCTGATGTGTACACGTGCATGTGTGTGTTGTACATGCAGAGCTGCCTCAGTTTGCATTTCACCCATCTGATCCAGATGACCTCTAAGACCCAGTCCTCTCAGGATAGAAAATTTGGAGAGCTGAGCTTCCAGCTTCAAGACTGGAAGGTGGCCCAACAACTAGCACTACCTCTCTTCCTTCCTCCAGTGCCCAGAAAATGGCTTCTTTCCCTCAAAATGCTGGTATTAGAGGGCTTGACCTGTCAAAACTATGGCTGCGACTTCACAAAAGCCCCAACAGGGCCAGGCGCGGCGGCTCACGCCTATAATCCCAACACTTTGGGAGGCTGAGGTGGGCGAGCGGATCACCTGTGGTCAGGAGTTCAAGACCATACTGGCCAACATGGTGAAACCCCATCTCTACTAAAAATGCAAAAATTAGCCAGCTGTGGTAGTGTGTACCTATAGTCCCAGCAATTTGGGAGGCTGAGGCAGAAGAATCACTTTAACCCAGGAGGCAGAAGCTGCAGTGAACCAAGATTACACCACTGCACTCCAGCCTGGGTAAGAGTGAGATTCCATCTCATTAAACAACAACAACAACAACAACAACAACAACAACAACAGCATCCGGCAGCCCCTGCCTGAGGCCTGGCACATTGTGTGTACACAAAATTTTTTGCTGAACAAGTAAACAGATGAATGAATGAATCCCAGTGCAGCAATAACAGAGCCCTGGGCAAGTCACTTAATCTTTCTCTGAGCCTTGTTTTTCTCATCTGTAAAATGGGTAATGGCATTTATCTCACGAGTCTGGGTGAGAATGAAATGAGATGCTTGTCAGAACCTGCTGGCTTGAGGCAGGCACTCAGTTATTCTTATTACTATTGGGATTACTCAGTGTTTGAAGGAAACAAGGACACCCATCTGGTGAGAACAGAATGAGTATGCTGAAACTAGAGAAGAGGCTGAGAAGAGCAGTCTGGAACACACAGCAGAGGCTTTGAATGTGACTATGAAGCCTAGCCTCCATCCAGTGGGTCCTGGTTGCCACCAGGGATTGTGGAGTGGGATAGTATCCTCTTTCCTGGGCCCCCAACCTGGATCCTGGAGCCTCACCTTGACATCTCGGTGGGCGATGTTATGGCTGTGCAGAAACTGGATGGCAGTGCCGATATCCCGCATTATCTCTGCAGCTTCTGCAGAAACAGATGGGGGAGGAGGGGGTCAGTGATGCCAGTCAAAGGTCAAGCTCTCACCCTATCATCCCTCCCGGACACAGTCTAGCACCCGATCAGCACAAGACAAGAAGACAGTGACAGCATTCCTGCTACCCAGGATCTCTATCCTGGACTCCCACCCCAGACACCCCAGTTTCCTCCAACGATACCCTCAACCCATCTAAACCTCTTTCCTCAGTCCTAAGCTACCTCTCCCCAGCTCAACTCGAAGCAACACTTCCATCCCAAAGCCACGGAGTCCATCTTCAACAAAGTGTCCCAGACTCAGAGAGTCCCTTGTGGGGATGGACATTGAGTCCCACCCTTTCTTGTTCAGTTGGGAAGACTGAGGCACAGAGAGGGACAGGGTCTTGCCCAGCATCACACACAACTCTCTGGTCCATACCTCTCACCCTGAATCCTCCTGCTGGTCCAGCTACATGCACATACCTCTCTCAGTGAAAGCCTGGTCGCCACGCTCCTGAATCCTGCTGAACAACTCACCACCTTCCATGCTGTAAAAGAGGTGATATAAGCAGAGATGGGCAGGGGGTGGAAATTGCATTTCAGGCCCTACCACTCTGCTCCTCCCCTACTAAACAGCCTCTGTCAGCCTCCCTGTCCCTTGGAGAACCTGGTACATGGTGGGTTGTCAGCTTGTCAGCTTGGGTGGGCTGAACTGAACTCTTAGAACTAGAAGAGGGTGGTGGGCTCTGATCCCTGCCAAGAAGCCTGTGTGTTCCCAGTGGCACTGCTCTTACCTGACTGTAAGGCCTTGGGTACTCCCAACCCCTTTCAAGTCCCTGTTTCCCATATGTGGTATGAAACGTTAATTGTCATCATGGCCACTGTTCTCTGGGCACCTATTGTATGCAATGCCCTGGGATCCACATTTTATGTGTGATCCTGGGCTGGTTCTTTCACCTCTCTGTGCCTCAGCTGTCTCTTTTGTATAATAGGGATAACAGCACCAAACCCATAGTCATGAAGATTGAATATGAAATACACATGGGCCACTTAGAATGGAGTCAAGCCCAGGGTAAAGGCTACATTAAGATCTTGCCCACATCTTCATGCGAGTTACAGAGATTCAGAGAGGTTAAGAGCTGCCCATGGTCACACAGCTAGTGGGTAGCAGAGGCAGGATCTGAACCCCAAATCTGAAGAACTGGCTAACCGGTACAGGAAGCGGGGACTTGAAAGGCAGACAGGGAGGAGCTGGGGGCCCAGAGTCTAAGGAATGCTGGTGCTGAGCCATGGTGTTACAGGAATAAGTCCAGAGTGGAGAAGGCCGCTGGCTCCTGGTTCTAGGCCCCAAGCACCCAAATCCTAGTAGGACCATGAGAGCACATACCCAGGTAAAAAGAAGAGAAAGTTGAGGGAACTGTGTGGGTCCTGTTCTTTCCCAAATCCCATACCTATCCACATTCAAGAATTGGGAGCCTTCTCTAACAGCTCTTCCAGTCCTCCTCACAGGGTGGAAATCACACCCAGGGAGGCCATATTAACCCCTATGGTTTCTTCCCCACCCTTGAGGGAATGTTCTCACAGCCAACTCCATACATCCACAGGCAGGGCCTGTGGCTGCCTGCTCCATTAACCCTCAAGGGCTAGAGAGTCACCCAGATCTGCTACCTGAAAAACAAAGAAAGTCTCTAAAAGCATGGCAGGGAGCCTAGGGCCACAGGGCTGCCAAGGGGGTGTGGAGACAAGGTGGGCCAGCATACCATTCCATGATGATGAGGAGACAGCGCTTGCCGTGGTGCATGTTCTCATACACATCCAGGATGCGGACAATGTGGGGGCCACCAGAGGCCTGCCAGTGATGGTCCACCTCCTGCCGGGCCTTGGGGCTATCATACAGGAGCTGTGGGTAGGCGGGCATAGAAAGCATCAGGCTCAGAGCCCTCTACCCTCACTTTGCAGACAAAGACATATAAGCTCTGAGGCCTGTGACCTGCCCCAGGTCACACAGCTTATAAGGAGCAAAATGAGAATTCAAATCCAGGTTTCCTTGACTTGTGGTCCAATGAGCCTCTGGACTTGAGGGTCAGTCCTGGGCTCAAGCAGCTTGGCAGGTAGTTCAAGGAGTCACTGGGAGGTGGCTGACTGCTTCAAGAACTTAGAGGCCAAAGAAGCCCTTGCCTCCCTTCTCAGGGGCAGCAAATAAAATGGAAATTGAGTGGATTTTATAACCCACTCAAATCACATAGCAGCCACAAGACCCCAAGCGAGGGACCACACATCCCTTAAGCCTCATTTTTATAGTGAAAATGACAGAGTTGTTCTGTTTCACAGGCTAGGGTTGGAAACTGTACATGTAAATTGTACAGGATGGCACCTGGTACATAGTAAGCCCTTGATGCTTCCCTTGTGATTCTCACCCAGCACATCTGTGACAAACAAAGTAGAAGGTGCTGGGGAAAGGCTGGGGAGGGGAGAGGGTGCACTAACACACAAATCTGCTCCATACACCTCAGCATGACCAGCAGAGTGCTGGAGTGGGAAGGAAGACTTCCTGCAGGAGGGGTTGAGGCCTGTGTCTGTCAATCTAGCTCCCACAAAGAAACTGGCCCAGAGTGGAGGGAGACAAGGCCACACTCCTGCAGGGGCGAAGGTAATTAAGATTTCAAATTCTCCAGGAGTGGGCGTGAGAACAAAACTGTCACTACCAAGAAAAGTGCTTCTAAAATGAGTTGCTTGGTCATGACCGCCCAGTCAGTTCCCAGCTTCCAAGGTAACTTTGTAGCCTGCCTGGGAGCTGCTATGCAGTATCAGGGCGACAATGTCATCCCACCGTAAGAGAGGTGGGGCCATCACAAGGTGACCTTGCTGCCCAGCCTCTACCCTTATCCCATGCTTACAGACCAATGGTGAGGACCCAGAGGTAGAGACTGGGGGCAGGGAGGACCCTAGTTGAGGGAGATGACAGCCGAGTAGTGTGAGATGTGGCTTTGGGATTGAATTCCTCCAATGACTCGGTGTGACCTCAGGCAAACATTCACAGCTCCAAGCTGCAGCCCACAACTCTGTAAAATGGAGTAATAGAAAAGTCATCCCCAAGGGTGCATCCCAGCAAGGCAAGCATCCGGTGGGCAGGCATCAGGATCCTTGCTCAGGTTAGTTCAGCCCTGGACTGTGGCTGCCAACCAGCACCAGGAATGAACAAGGCCGCCCAGTGGCTCTGCTGTAGGGGGAGAAGGAGAAGTCAACATGCAGGAGGAATTGGCCCAGAATGGGGACAGCAGGGACAAGACACCCCCAGAAGGGTTGCTCACTCAAGGCCCAGCCAGTGACATTGTGTTTCCTAATGGAAGAGGGCTGGGGACCAGGGCTGATGTTCAAGACCAGGGCTCGGGCCGGGCGCGGTGGCTCAAGCCTGTAATCCCAGCACTTTGGGAGGCCAAGGCGGGTGGATCACGAGGTCAAGAGATCGAGACCATCCTGGTCAACATGGTGAAACCCCGTCTCTACTAAAAATGCAAAAATTAGCTGGGCATGGTGGCGCGTGCCTGTAATCCCAGCTACTCAGGAGGCTGAGGCAGGAGAATTGCCTGAACCCAGGAGGCGGAGGTTGTGGTGAGCCGAGATCGCGCCATTGCACTCCGGCCTGGGTAACAAAAGTGAAACTCCGTCTCAAAAAAAAAAAAGACCAGGGCTCGGATCACCCCCGCTCAGCACTTGTAGGACCCTGTGACCCCAGTCTTAATTTCTTCTTTGGGAGAGCCAGGCCAATTTACACAGGGCACTGTGTGGGGCAGGCTCTGGGGCCACACTCTCTACATAAAGGTAAACTAGGGCAGGGCAATATCCCAGAGAGGCAGACAGTGGTTTCTCAAGCCTGCTGCCCCTGGCTGTCCCTCCTTTTCTGGAGCTGCTCCCCTCAACCCTAGCCTGGGAATACAGATAGTGCATGGAATGCAGAGAGTCAGGGGCTGGATAAGCCCTCTAGCAGCTCTGTGCCCCTGCTCCTTTACCCAGAGCAGGCTCCCTTGTATGTGTCAAGGCTGCTGCGGGCAGATGCTCCTGCCTGCACACCATGGACCCTTGCTCACACTGCCCTTGCCTGCCAGAATACCCCTCAGGTTGGTGCCCATACAATTCCCAATCACCAGCTTCCTGCTCAACACTGGGCCCAGAAAGCCCCCACTCACCTCCACCATGTCCTGGGGAGGCTCTAGCTTGGAGTACCCCAGTCCTCAGCCACAGGAGACAAGATGCACCATCCTCCCTCCCTGTACCTGCTTCCTTCTTTGCCTCCTCCCCCTCCCTCTGCCAAGTCCCCTCCTCCCAAGCCTGACCTGACCATCTTCCTGTAAGGCCTCCTAGGCTGGCTCCCACACCCTCTCCTCACTGCCCGCCTTGTGGCATCTCACTCCCACACCAGAGTCCTCCTCCTCTCTCTTAAAAGCCCAAGTTCACAGCTGGAATGCTTTCAGTGAGGTCCTCAGCCCTGGCCTCTCCCCTTAGGACTTTAATCTACTTGTGGCCACAGACACGCCCTCACATCTTCCAGATAAATGCCACCTCTTCCCCTAGCATGCAGGACTTGCCTTTTTTCCCACTTCACTTCCTGCCACCTCTGAGCCAAAATCACTGTTCTGGCCTGAAAAATACATGTGCTGTTCCCAAACAGGCCTTCCTCGCTCAGGTCTCTGTGTCTGTGCCTGTGCTGGTTCCTGTCGTGTGCATTCTTGCCTCATCTTCTCCATTGGGTTAACTCTCTCTTTTTGAGAAAACTTCATGGCTCAATTCAGATCTCTCTCTCTCTCTCTCTCTCTCTTCTCTCTCTCTCTCTCTCTCTCTCTCTCTCTCTCTCTCTCTCTCTCTCTCTCTCTTTCTGTCTCTCTCTGGAAAGTCCTCCCAACACCTTTCTTACTGTTTTTGCCTCTGTTCCTCCTACCAGCTTGGAAGTAGCTTGAGGGCAGAGGAGGGTCAGGTTCACTTGGGGTCCCTGGCTGGAGCCTGGCAGGAAACACTGGGCTCCCCAGCAAAGGATGGGAGGAAGGGGCCTGGGACTGGAGGGAGATGGGGCCAGTGAGAGGGAGAGAGGGAGGGAGGGCGGTAGATGGCCAAGGAGGGGCCAGAGAGCCTTCCAGCCTGGGCCTGCAGCCTGTGCTTCACTGAGGTAGGGGGGGCAGATGGAGCTGCCCTGAGCTGGAGCCTCTCGTGGCTTCCTGCCCCACTCAGTCCATATTTAGGAACCCATTTCCCACATGGATTAAAATAGTCCTTCTACAAGTGCCAAAGCCCTGAAAATAGGCATGGGGTGCAGGGAGGGCTGTCCCCGGAAAATATAACAAATGCCCCAGTGGTGTCTCTGCAGAGCACAGGAGCCAGAGCCCTCAGCCTGGACCCACCCAGGTCCAGCTGCCAAGAAATCCCTGAGCTGTCTCTCCTGACCCCTTGAGTTGACCCTGAACATAGCCCCAAACCTCCTAGATCCTCAGTTTTCTCATCGCCCTTCCCCATAGCCAAAGCCTTCTCCTCCTCCAGACCTCCCCTCAATGTCACCTCCTCTCAGAAGCCCTCCCTAACCACCCTGTCTAAAAGGGACCTCAAGAGTCCTTCACTCTCTCTTCATCATTTGTTTTTCTTTCTTTCAATATGTCCTTTGTTTACTGAGGTGTAATTGGCATATAGTAGAATGTACAGGTCTCAAGGGTCCAATTCAATGAGTTTTCATGATTGCATACACCCTAGGGACCCAAACTTCCATCAAGACAGAAAACATTCCTAGCTCCCCAGAAAGCTCTCACATCATCGCCCTTTTCACTTCCTGTGCAGCACTTGCTCACAACCTGCAATTAGCTTGTTCCTTTGATAACTCTTTAAGTAAACACACACGTACAGATATTGTACTTCCAACGTGCCTGGCTCTGTTTGGGGTACTTCATAAATATTAGGAGGAAAGGACTTAATTGTCACCACTTTTTGGATAAGAAATTGAGGCACAGAGAGGGGAAGCAACTGGCCTCAAATCACATGGCTGATCCCCCAGCCAGGCCGACACCAGCAGCCTCCCTGATCAGACTGTGGGCCCACAGGGCAGGGCCAGTCTGCCTGGCCACCTCGAGGTCCTAATACTGGGGCACAGGGCCTGGTGCAGAGCACTGACTCAGGTTATAGTTGTAGACTTTTTTTTTTTTTGAGACATAGTCTTGCTGTGTCACCCAGGCTGGAGTGCAGTGACACAATCATAGCTCATTACAGCCTCGATCTCCTAGGCTCATGCGATTCTCCCACCTCAGCCTCCCAAGTAGTTGGGACCAAAGGTGCATGCCACCATGCCTGGCTAATTTTTTTTTTTTTTTTTTGTACAGATGGGTTTTATCATGTTGCCTAGGCTGGTCTCAAACTCCTAGGCTCAAGCCATCCTCCTGCCTTGGCTTCTGAAATGCTGAGACTACAGGTGTGAGCCACTGTACCTGTCAATATTTGTAGATTTAATAAATCTATAGAGTAAGGATGAGGGGAAAAAACTCTCACAACCCATCATGAGGATAAGATAAGATTAAACTGAGGAGGCCCTAGTGAGGTTCAACAAATGGGAGACATGACAACCTGGCCAAACTTTCTCCTTGCTGCCAATGGGCAGCCTGTACCTCACCTACCCTCTATGTTGAACCAGGCTTTACCTCCACTTCCAGGGAGCCCAAACCATGACTACTCCAGTCCACAAGGAATTGCTGCAAGTTGGCCTCCTTCACATAGGTACATGACTCCACACTATTCTTCACAAAAGGTAAGAGCTCCATCTTCCCAGGCATGAGAATGAGCACAGAGTCAGGACACAGGAGGCCCAGACTCTATCCCTATTCTCAGTATGACCTTAGGCCAGTCCCTTTTCCTCTCTAGGCCTCTATT